GCGTCATCGCAGATATTTGAGTTTTCGTAACAAAACCTAAAGTTTGGATTTTTAGAGTTGTTTACAATGTTAAACTTAGTGAAGAAGAAAATTGCAGAAGAAGATGCCGATTTGCATTGAATTAATGTGTTAATACCTGTCACTAGCCTTGAGAACGATAAGGGTTATTTGTAGACCCTTTGAAGAACTTTTTTTACAGTTTGTCGATTAAATTGAACATTTGTTTGCACGGAAAACTTGAAACAAATCGAAACTGTGCAGATTGACTAAATTCGTGCTCAATTGTACAATTATAATAACGTTGAGACATTTCCAGTATCTCTGCACTGTCGTGCAGTGCTATTGTGTCCCACATTCAACAACTCAAAGAAAATAAGCTGCTTGCAGTATACAAGGAAGTCAATGTAAAACCCGATTATCTTCTACTTTTCCATTTTTAAAAATCCGGGCACATTTTTTTAAGTAAAATATGGCATTGCTTTACATATTCCCATCATTTTTTGTTTGATTCAATTTAAAAATAAAATAAAAAAACTCATCAAAAAACCAAACGTTTGGAAGTTATTAATTAATGCCACAAAAAGTGGTAAAATGCCCCATGGTGCATAGTGTGTGTGCCGTCAAGCCTTGGCGTCGTGTCCTTCATCAGGATGCCAACAATATAAAGCCTATTTTCATTGTTTCCTCTTTGTCGACATCTTTCTCATTCTGTTTCTCCCCAAATCCCGCTCTCCTGTCTACCCTTCGCACTTCACTTCCCTTCTTCCACTCGAATTCTCCCTTTTCTGACACTTGAACAGCTGACAGGGCGACGACGTCAACGTTTTTGTCGGTTGTGCTTCGGCGCCTTACCTATTGTTGCTGTTGCATGACATAGGCCGTTAATTAAATTAAGTAAAAGTACCAAAGTATGTTCCGTATATTATTAGGGACGTCTCCCCCTCTACCACCATCACACACTCATTCTCCTGAGCACTATTCTCCCTCGACTACTTTTTAGTATATGTTTTTACCGCTCTCTTTGCGACCGGAATGACTTTATCAGAGAGTCGTAGTCGGCAGAGGAAGAGCAGCAGGTGAAGACCATGGCTAACTAAATATTGTACCTCTCTCTTTCATTCTATTTGGTTATTTCTTTTCTCGTCCACTGCAACGTTTTACCCTCACTCCTTATCTTTCTTCTGTCTTTCGAAATATTTCTTTCTTTATCTCCCTCTCTCTATCTCTTTTTCTGCAACAACAATTACTGGTTGTGGAACGGAACGCATGTAAATATTTATCTTGAATATTTTTATACCCATTTCTTATTTGGCACTCCTTTTTCACATACTTTTTTCACTCGTATTCGTCTGTATTGTATTTTTATGGGGAATGGAACACACATCATATTTTTTTAGGGACTACAAAAATACACAAGACATTTGTATGTCCAGATAAACATATGTACATATGTACATACATACTATGTATGTAAATAAAAGAGTACGTTCCACCGTAAAAAGTTGAACTTCTCTTTAATATTTATTGTTAAAAAAATAATTTTAAACTAGTTAAAAACATTTTAAAATATAATTTACCAAGTATGTATGTACATATGTTCGTACATATTTGCATACTTATGTATGTACATACATACATAAATCAAAGTTTAAATAAAAAATGTCCATCTCTTTTCCAATAGTGAATATATGTACGATACAATATTCATACCAAATTGTATCAGAATTCATTCATTCCACATTTCGAAGACACAAAAATAAAGTTTCCTTTGCTTAATCCACGAGTAAAGAAATCTCTAGATAATGCATATGTACATACATATAATGTATGTATGTATATCTTCAAAAACTTATTCGCTTGTGCGTCGCGAGTCTGGGAGCATTCATCAGTTGGATGGAAGAGAGGGGAAATTGGCGCCTCCTTTCTTTTGGGTAAAAAGAGAGACGAGGAAACTGTTGTAAAGTCAGAGGCAGTACAAAGTACGAATACAGTTATGGTTATCCTCTTGTTTGTGGATCATGTCCGGGTGTTTTTTGCTTCCAAAAGAAAAGCGATTTGCATTAAACGTTTAGTTGAGGAAACATCAGCAAAAAAGGAGAAGCAGATGAAGCAGACAGAGATGAAGGCAAATCGATTAAAAGGCTTTTACCTCTCTCTTTCTCTTTCTCTGTGCACGTGACACCAACAGACGGCTCATGGCACTACAGCGGGGGAGTTCTGTGCCGTGCCGTGCTGCCTAGAGGGTTAACAGTAGGCAGATGTTCCAGAAAGGAAGGTAGACAGGCAGGCGGAGGCCTTGGAGTTGGCAATCGAAGGGTGGCAAGGGTGAGTGGAGTGAAGTGGAGTGGCTTGGCTTGTCGTAGAGAGAGAAAGAGAGAGAAATTCGCCACATGGCAAAACGGGGCATAATTGAGCCGTCTAACAAGCCCAATGACCGATTAAGCCAGCATGTCGACTGACCCACGGACGGACGGAAGTTTTGTCCCGCAAAACGGGTGCCCCGACTTTGAGTTTGAGTTCCAGTTAATGTGGGGGTTAAGTTGAGGTCTTCAGAACTCTCAAGGATTTAGTTCAAGTTCTACTTTCGGGTATTGAGGAATTACTTGAGGGACAGAGAGACTGTTCTAACTTTACTAAAACATCAATCGATAATTCCCTTGGCAGAAATTGTTCATATTCGTTTTCGAACCTTAGAAACAATAACTTTGATTTAGTTCCAACAATTTAAAGTTAATTTTAAAGTTAAGGCTATGCCTCTTATTTATTTATCACGCATCATTGTAGAGATAATGTCTCTTCCATTTCATTAGAGTGCCATCCATTAACTTAGAACCTGTGCAACGAAAACCACTCTAAGTACTAAGTACATATATCCCAGATATGTGGTCCTATTATCTAAAACATCTTCCCTCCATATCCATAATCATTAATCGAACACGTATCGATTTTTTGGGGGAGTCGTCGATGTCGTTTTCGCCGCTGCCGCCTTTCTCTGCATTTGAACACGTCAACGCATTTTTTCACGCTTATCTCTACATCGTTTGGGGGAAAATATGTGTGTATAGAGCGGGGTAGAGTACCTGTGCCTGTATCTGTATCTACAATTTATCTGCCGTTTGGAGCTTATCTTATCAGGGAGAAGACAGCACCATAGGCAGTGGGTGGTTCGGTGTGATGGCAACGAGCGAGCGAGCGGATGACGAACTTGAATTCAATTTCTTTTCAATTTCTTATTCCCCTATCGCCTATCACCGGACCCGCCAACTCTCTTGCTCTCTCCCTCTCTTTATCTGTTCATTCCCCTACATTACCCCTTTCCTATTACCTTTTCCCACCATTTTCCACTCTTATTTCCCCTTCCTCCTCCTCCATCCATACTCTTCCTTTATTTGTTGAAATTTTCCTACAAAAAGTGGCACCTTCAGTGGATAGATTTTGCTTCGGTTTTTGGGTGGGAACTCTGTTGGGGGAAATCTGTTAGGGGAACTCTCTTCCCTTTTGTTTAGGGGTTGGGGTTCCGTAATGATGAGCGACGGTGTCGTGTTTTCATTAAGCTTCAAGAAATTTAAATATGTCATAATAATAATAATAATACGTGTCTCTGTGTGTGTCTCTGCCCCCAAGGGGTGGCATTGAAAAGCGACTGGTGCTGGGGTAGCATTGAAAGCGAGGGATGGTTTGTGGTGGTATGGAAAAGTGGGGTTTTTCTTGGGTTGGCTTCAGAAATGCGCTGCTTTGGTGCCTTACAAAGGTGTGTGCCTTGTGTGTGTCATTGTCTTAGTCCTGCCCTCGTCCTTTGATCCTAATCACAGTCACAGCACAGCCAAGAGGACCAGATTTTTGGCATACTTCCCGCCATAATCCCCGCACCAGCCATTCCTCCCTCTTGTGCGTTTCTCGAGAGTTTGCTTTGCATTTTGCGGCTTGCTTGGAAAATGTTAATTTTCCTGCTAATGGGAGGGGGCAGTCAGAGGGGTATGTGTGGCTGCATGTTTAAGGAAAATTACTTTTCCAAGCAGAGATTTTTTGCACAGAGCCGCTAAAAAGACAATTTCTTTTCTATAAACGAACGCAAAAAATTGTACCAGGAAACTCTCAAAAAGTTTGTCTCAATTTTCGTTTCAACTACATATAATTGTTGGAAGCATTTTCTATTAATTGACGGGCAAAATTATACATTTTCAGCTAAATTAACTGAATTATAGAATTATTGTCCGCTTGATTATGAAAACCCCGAACAAAATGTATAATTTATTTACCATCAAATAGTTGGTGGAATTTATTTTATGATAATACGAACAGAAAAGGTTTAATTTATCTGCGTTAAAAAAGCTGGTATTTGTTAAACCTCTTGGAGGTGACTCCCACAAACTAAACGAGTAGGAACGTTTGGGAGACGCTTCTTACGCGTCACAACTTTTATACCCGGTACTCAGTACTACATCTGCACGTTAGCGGTTTTTTGTCGAATTTTAAATTTTGTTCATCTGTCATCTTCATCTACATCGCCCCTCTTCCCTAGAGCCGCACACTGCAGAGTCACGGCAGAGGCCTCACATTTCAGAAACAGAGTGTGAATGAGAGAATGTGAAAAAAAAACAAATATAAGCTGCGGGACGGGGTGGGATTATCCACTAAAAATTAATTGCTTCATTCTGGCTATAATAATGATCCAATCGGATCCAATCGAGTTCGGTGATCTGATAGATATGGTCATTCCCTACAGAATGGCGTTTTTAAAAGACACTTGTAACAGTGTGAGCATACAGCATACAGTCTGAATGCAAAATTTGGTTGCTCTAGCTCAACAAGACGGACGGACGGACAGACGCTGATCAATGGGGTCGGAAACGTTTCCTTCTGTGCGTTACATACAATAACCCTATTTACTCTATGAGTACCAGGTATAAAAAGGACCAGATTAAACATAAAAATTACTCAAATATTAACAAATTGACCACGACATCATACCAATATTAATATATGTAAATGGTACTTACCAAATGCAGTACGGTATTCACAACTTCACGGTTGGTGACCTGCCCCACCTCGATGAGGCCGATGAGGACGGCGAACTTCAGATTGTCGGCGGTTGTCATTCTGACGATTTCGTCGGGCCGCTTGATCTCGCTGTACGGCGGACGCATGATGTCCGCCATTTTTGTCGATTTAAATTGATTCGATTTATCGTTTCGTGTGTGTTTTGATTGAATTTTAGTTATAGATTTTAATAATATTCAATATTATTTTTAACGCATTGCCAGCGCGTTGCGTATTATTGTTTTAGTTTTTTTTTTAATTTATGTTTATGTTAAGGTTTGGATATTTTTTGTCGCATAGATTGAGTTATAAAATTAATGGATGGAATGCATACGAATGGATACACGGCACACACACACGATGCACAGATATATAATACATATAATGCTTTATAGTATATATACCTTTATATAGGATATATATTAAAAAAAAAGTTCGATATATTGCCAGGCAATTGGAGGGGAGACGAACAAAAAAAATTAGTTGCAATTTTTTTGTATTATATTAAATTTTTTTTTCTTAGATATAAATTTTTTTTCTTGGCTGGATTTTTGTTGTTATTTTGATTTTGCAAAAAAACTTTTGCAATTTATCAGGTTGCAGCACTTTGTGGCTTTCGCTGTCGTTGCTGGTGTTGCTGCCACTTCTTGGGGCACATATTGAGGAGGAAGCAGAACCCACACACACTTCTCTCTGCCGCAAGCCTTCAAGCACTTCTCTCAGCGAACTCCCATTATTTTAACATTAATTTCTATGAACTTTTATATTTTTAATTGCACAACAGAGCGACAAAGTTTCATATTTGTTTCAAATTTGTTTCGCCTGTGGTTGTTATTTTTTTAAAATATATTTTGTTTTTTTTTTGTTTTTTGTTGGTTGGATTTTAGATGATTTTTTGTGGTGGTTGATGGTGACACATACATACAAAAAAGGGAGAAAGAGAAAAAAGGTTTCATGAGTAAGAAATACACGAAATTTCGATCCAGGATATCCATCTATGGGGGATTTATTGGCAAGGAACACTGCGTTACAGAGCTGTGGGGGCGGTCGGTGCCGGGTTATACAAGAAATTGCCTACATTTTATTCATTCAAGAAGCTTATCGATAACATTCTATGGTATGATTTTATTAATGCCAACGATTTTTTGATAATTCTTATTAATTATTATATATATAAAAAAAACAAACGTACATACTCCAGTGATTCACAGACATTTGATTAACCAATAAAATCGACTCTTAGCTTTGATAACGTTATGCAGGTTTGACTGTAATTGCAACTATGAAACGCACTGTACGTTATTCGCTTTGTGAAATTAAAATTTTTATGAATATTAAATAAAATTCCTATTTTACATTAATTTCCTTGCTTTTTTCTTGGTTTTCATTTTTGTCAGAGGCATAAAGTAAAACATTCCAAATATTCGTTTGATCAGAGGCAGGATAGGGCTTTAGGGGGGTAACTTTGCAGAGGGGAAATACGTGTGCTCGATGGCGCATGTGAGGAGAAGTAAGAAGGGAGTCCCATTATTCATTCGGTTTTTATTCCTTGGGCCAAAGTGGAAAATTGTCTGGGGGAATTTATGTGCATTTTTAATTGTTGCTGCTGTTACGCGTATTTCTGTGTTCTTTCATTTTCTGGCTCTTTTTTATGCATTATCTGTTTCTGTATCTCTGAGTGCACCGCACTGACTTTTATGCCAAAACTGTTCTTCAGATCAGTAACCAAAGTAAAGAAAACGAGAAGGGACGTGTGAGACGCTTCTTACGAGTCAGAACTTTTATACCCGGCATTCAGTACTACATCTGCACCTTAGCGGTGTTTTGTCAAATATTAAATTTTTTCTTCATCTGTCATCTACATCTTACAACACTTCTCACAACAACACGCTCCTTTAGCTTGCCGGGCTTCCCTAGACCCACACACTGCAGACTCGCGGCAGAGGCAGAGGACGAAGCAGAGTGTGAATGAGAGAATGTGCAAAAAAACAAATATAAGCTGCGGGACAGGGTGCGTTTAGCCACTGCAAATTAATTTCTTCATTGTGGCCAGACCACCAATTTGGCGATCTGATAGATATGGTCATTCCCTACGGAATGGCGTTTTAAATTTTCTTTTATCTTCAAAATTGTAGATTTGATAGGTTTTCGCCCTTTTTCGGGGGCAGGGCTCATTTTTGAAATACACTGGTTTCAGTGTGAGCATACAGCAGTATGGAGCCACAATTTGGTGGCTCTAGCTCTTATAGTCTCTGAGAACTAGCCGACAAACAAGACGGACAGACGGACAGACAGACATGGCTCTATCGACTCGGCTATTGATGCTGATCAAGAATATATATACTTTATGGGGTCGGAAACGTTTCCATCTGTGCGTTACATAGCGTTATTCGCACAAATACAATATACCCTATTTACTCTTCGAGTACCGGGTATAACTATGTATGTTTTACTCCTCTGACTCATCTGTGAATCGATTTCGTTATGAAAGAGTAGTTCTTGGGGAAAAGGTATTTCGTGGGGCTCTCTTGCCGTCACGCACCGGTGATAAGGCAGGGCCATTGGCCTCTGGAAAAGCCTGGGAAAAGCTTCGAAAGAAATGCTAAAAGCAAAACCAAATATAGAGGGAGCACACACACACCAGAAATGTGTGATGGGAATTCTAATACTTTTATTAAAAAACAAGAACTCTTTTGAGGGAAGTCGTTGTAAAGTGCATAGGAACTGTTGTTGGACAATTTGAAGAAAAATGTGAAACAAAAACTTTCTAAAGATATAGAGAGTATCAGAGAATATCAAAGTTTTCTTCGGTTTCTCATCAATTTTTGTTAACATATATGTGTGAAAATGTGAAAAGATCATGATTTATAAACTTGGGACATTTCTTTTCTAAGCTTTTATCTGCTTCACTTTTCTTTTGCTTTGATAACGAGAAATTCTCTCAGGTGAAACACTCTTAACAGGGGCAGTATCTCGAAGATCGACTTATGTAATTGGCACTGTTAGGCTGTGCGGCTTGAGAGCGGCAGTTAATGCAATTCTCAATTCTCCAGGGCTACTACTTTTTCACAGTACACAAAAAAAAAACTAGCAAGCGGGAGAGGAAAAGAGAGAGACCAAGAAAAACAGTAGGTGAACAACAAACAAAAACAGCAAAAAAATATACATATATACTCAGGTATATAAATAAAAGAACACGACACTCGAAAAGATGGGAGAGAAAAAACCGGCGTGGCATACGTGTGTTACGCGGGGCAGCGACGGCGACGGCAACGTTGGCAGAAGCAAAAGCAGCACAATGTTGGTAACTCGCACTGCCAAGGTGTGTTAATATCAGGTGGAGTCACTCATTAAATATTTGTTTTGCAATTTACTATGTCTCTATCTCATTCTCTCTCTTGCTCTTTGTTTCATTCACCGCGTGTCTGGCACGGAATTAAGAATAAAATGTTAGAAACTGAAAGTCTGCACCTTTAATTAACACACTTTGCACTAGCCGGTTTCCTTTTTGTTTTTGTTGGCTGTTACGTTTTCGATTTCGTTGGTGTTTTGCTAAGCTGAGACGTAACGAAAAATATCCAAGCAAACACGTAAAGAAAGATACAAGCAGAGACGCAAAGAAAGATCGAAGCAGAGACATACAAAATCAAGTTGGAACATCGAATTATCCGTCTAGCAGGTGTCTACAATCATGACGTTTTTCCTCCATTGAAAGTACGCGTTTTATCCGCTGCTTCCACTAGCTCGCGCTCTTACCACGTTTTATTTTTTGTACCTCTAACAGCTATTGGCTAACCATTTAACAACCTGGCGCGCACTTTACTAATTGCACGTCAACAAATTCCAATTCGAATTTTTGTCGACGGCCAACAGTCGCTACCGCTGACGTCGCCGTCAGCAGAGACAGAGAGAGAGAGCGCTTTGGGTTTTTTGGAGCGCCTCTTCAGTTGGTTATGCTTGTTACGAAATACGAAATAAACTGATCGCGAAACGCTGCAAGAGAGTGTGTGATGGACGCCCGACCCCCCTTCAAACACGTGCAATTCTTTACCATAAGTCTCCCTCTGACAAATGCGTTCCGCGACTTTATCTGTTTGCGCTCGCTCTCTTTCTGTCCTCTGTCAAATGTTTCCACTCTCCGTTTTATCTCACTCTTCTTTGTTTTTTTTTTATCTGTTTGCCCTATTCCTCTGACTGTTTTTCTTTTTTGTTCTGCTTTTTAGCTGAACTTTTTGTTTGTTGTATTTCTTGGCGGCAGCGAGAGAGCCGCTGCTCTGCTTTTGGTGGTTGCTTTTACCGTTTTTGGATAGGTTTAAGTTGAATGCTGGTTCGCTTGATGTGGAGGGGGGAAACCAGTTTCAGATCTATGTTGAAGAGCGGGCGGTGGAGTCGAAAGTATTACTGGGAGAGCAGCAGGGTGTTCGTTTGCTCGGTGTATTGTACGGTGTAGGGTGGGGGGTGTTCCACTGTAATTATGAATTGCCCTCTTTTTCCTTTGTTTTGGACCTCGCTCTCCCGCTCTCTGGCTTCCTTTCATCATCTCTGTTTCTCTCTCAGCTGCTTCCTTTCGAAAGTCACTCTCTCACTGTCTGTAAGTCACTCTCTCAGCCGGTTTCCTTCATCCCCTCGCTCCACAACACTCTCTGCTCATCATTTCATTCTGCCTCTCACCACTCCCTTTCAACGAGCAAGGTTGGGCCTTCTTCATTTTTCCCCTGCCCTTTGAGTGCGAAAAATCAATGAATGTGTCGCCCAAACACACAGAGAGAGAGAGAGAGTGAGAGAGGAACCAGGAGAGAGGCTACCAAGAGAGAATAATTTTGTTAACGTATTATTCTGTCTCCGCGACCCCCCTTTTCTAGACAATCGTTCAACCATTTAGCACTTTCTGCGCTACGTGAGCGCTCTCTTTGTGGTACTCTCTCTCTCTTTTTCTCTCTGCTGCTTGGTTGCCCTCTTGTGCAGCTTATTGCGGCTTTCTGTCAACCTGCTTCTTCTTATCTCTGCTGCTTCTACTTCTCTCTCTCTCTCTCACCGTCACTTTGTTTTATCGCACTATTTTGTTGGATTTTCATCATTCCTATTAGAACAAATACAATATAAATCGACTGCTAATTGGTAAGAAAAGCAATCCGTGCTCCAAATGGCAGAAAAACCAAGCGGTATCCTAAAAAAACGACGTCAACGTAAATGCACACGTAACACACAGAACAACAAAGAATGAGGTAGAAGCGAAGGACGTGGTGGGGGAGTAGGAAGAAGGACAAAAACCGGCTGTAATTAATATTTACGTTTGCTTTTGTTGTTCTCGCTCTAGACGCCTATTTTGTGTGGATACTTTTAAACTTTATATTTTACCTAATTATTATTTTTTGTAAATTACTTTTGATTGTTGAAATATTTTGCACATTTAATTTGTGTTTTTGTAAATTATTGTTGACCTTTTTTTTAATAATTGGTTCTGCCGTTATTTGTTGTTGCTGAACACGCT